GACTAGGTGCATAAAAAGCAATATGCCGTGGGGTGAAAGCTGCTTCAGCATTCAAGGACAGTCAAATGCAGAAAGACTAACTTACTGGGAAGACAGACTAGTGGTGGTGTTATTAATTAAGAAACCAGGGCCAGGCGAGGTGGCTCAAATCTGTAATCCCAGCACCCTGGGAAGCTGAGGCCACTGGATTGCCTGAGCTTACAGGTTCAAGATCAGTCTGACAAAAGTGAGACCCTCGTCTCTAAAAATAGTCAGGTATTGTGGTAGTGGCTCTACATGGTGGCTCACACCCATAATCTTAGCTCTTTGGGAGCCTGAGTCGAGTGGATTGCCTGAGCTCAGGAATTTGACACCTGTCTGTGCAAGAGTGAGACTAAAAATAGAAAAAACTGGCCAGGTGTCATGGCGGAGGCCTACTGTAGTCCCAGATGTGTGGGAGGCAAAGGCAAGAGGATTACTCGAGCTCAATAATTTGGGGTTGCTGTAAGCTCTAATGACACCATGGCATTCTACCCAGGATGACAGAGTGAGATACCTTTAAAAAAAAATTAAAAAAACCAATGCTTAGGATAGAATCATAGATTAGTTAAGAGGATTAAAAAAGAAAATTTCAACTTGGCGCCTGTAGCACAGTGGTTACAGCACTGGCCACATGCACTGACAGGTTCAATCCTGGCCTGTGCCAGCTAAAACAACGACAACTGCAACAAAAAAAAATAGCTGGGCACTCTGGCGAGTGCCTGTAGTCCCACCTCTCTGAGAGGCTAAGGCAGGAGAATTGCTTAAGCCCAAGAGTTTGCGATTGCTGTGAGCTGTGACTCAACAGTACTCTACCCAGGGTGACAGCCTGAGACTGTCTCAGAGAAAAAAATCTCCCAAAGAAATGTCAAGTGAAGAATCTTCTTTGAATTACTTGAAAATAATGATCACAATGTCAACCAAAGGATTTTAGAAGCAGCTAAAATTTTATTTCTTTAAAAAATTAAGACAAGCCAGGCATGGTGGCTCTTGCCTATAATCTTAGTACTCTCGGAGGCTGAGGCAGGTGGATTGCTTGAGCTCAGGAGTTCAAGAACAGTCTGAGCAAGAGTGAGACCCAATCTCCACTAAAGAAATGAAAAACTAAGGCAAAATGATTGCTTGAGCTTGAGAGTTTGAGGTTGCTGTAAGCTCTGATGCCATTGCACTCTATCAAGGGTGACTCTGTCTTAAAAATGAATAAATAAGGGTTGTGCCTGTGGCTTAGTGGGTAGGGCGCCGGCCACATTCTCCGAGGCTGGTGGGTTCGAACCCGGCCTGGGCCAGCTAAACAACAATGACGAGTGCAACAAAAAACTAGCCGGGCATTGTGGCAGGCACCTATAGTCCTAGCTGTTTGGGAGGCTGAAGCAAAAGAATTGCTTAAGCCCCAAAATTTTAGGTTGCTGAGAGCTATGACGCCACAGCACTCTACCCAGGGTGACAGCCTGAGATTCTGTCTCAAAAATAAATAAAAAAATAAAAAAATAAATAAAATAAAAAAATTAAGAAAAAGTACACTACTTTCATAATGGCTATACATATTGCAATCTGAATACCAGTAATAACCATACTTTCCTGACTCTGGTATTTTATGGAGTAGGGCAATGGTAAGAAGGTATGGCACTTTATAGGCAATCCAAAATTGCCTTGAACTGAAACTCAGAATCCCTCATATAGACCTGGATGTTGGATAAAGTTCTCTTGCAGAAGAGCAGGACTCTGTTATATTTGAAATATGATGAAGTCTTTTTTTTTTTTTGAGAGAGAGTCTCACTCTGGTGCCCCAGGCTAGAGCACTATGGCATCATGGCTCACAGTAAATCTCAAACTCCTGGGCTATAGGAATCCTCTTGCCTTAGCTTCCTGAGCAGCTGGGACTACAGGTACCGGCCACAATACCCCACTAATTGTTTTATTTTTAGTAGAAATTGGGTCTCATTGTTGCTCAGGCTGGTCTTAAACTCCTGAGCTCAGGTGATCCACCCACCTCAGCCTTCCAAAGTTCTAGGATTACAGGCATAAACCACCTACCCTGGATGATTTCTTAATTACTTTTTAAATATGACGTATATATGGGGAACACTGCCCTGAACAAACCTTAATTAATGTTAATTTTAGATGCTTATATAAGCTCACCAGTTTTTTTTTTTTTTTGGAGACAGAATCTCACTTTGCCACCTTTGGTAGAGTGCCGTGGCATCAGAACTCACAGCTGCCTCAAACTCTTAGGCTCAAGCAATTCTCTTGTCTCAGACTCCTGAGTAGCTGGAACTACAGCCACCTACCCACAACACCCAGCTATTTTTTAGAGATGGGGGCTTGCTCTTGCTCAGGTTGGTCTGGAACCGTAAGCTCAGGCAATCCACCCACCTCAGCTTCTCAAAGTGCTAGAATT